ACTGAATGCCTTCTTTGCTTCTGTCTTCAGTGAAAAAGCTGCCCCTTGGGAATCCGAGACCCTGGAGGTTAGTGAGAGGATCTGGGGAATGGAAGTCCTCCCTTCTGTCAGGGAAGAGGTGGTCCGAGAACGCCTAGGCAACACCAATGTTCACAAATCCATGGGACCCAATGGGATGCATCCACAGGAGCTGAGGGAGCTGGCAGAGGTGATTGCTGAACCGCTTTCTGTCATCTTTGAGAGGTCTTGGAGGACGGGGGAGGTGCCTGAAGACTGGAGGATAGCCAATGTCACTGCGGTCTTCAAAAAGGGCAAGAAGGAAGATCCAGGCAATTATAGGCCAGTCAGCCTCACCTCTGTCCCTGGAAAGGTGATGGAACAGCTTGTGCTAGATGTCATCTCCAGACAACTGGAAGAAGAGGAGGTTATCAGGAGTAGTCAGCACGGGTTCACAAGGGGGAGGTCGTGCTTGACCAATCTGGTGGCCTTCTATGATGTTGTCTCTGGCTGGGTGGATGGGGACAAAGCAGTGGATGTAGTCTACCTTGATTTCAGCAAGGCATTTGATACTGTCCCCCACAACATCCTTATAACAAAGCTGAGGAAGTGTGGGATAGATGAGTGGACAGTGAGGTGGGTTGAAAACTGGCTGACTGGCAGAGCGCAGAGGGTCGTCGTTGGCGGTGCAGAGTCCGGTTGGAGGCCTGTAAGCAGCGGTGTTCCTTAGGGGTCTGTGCTGGGTCCGGTCTTGTTCAACATCTTCATCAATGACCTTGATGAGGGGATAGTGGCCACCCTCAGCAAGTTTGCTGATGATACGAAGTTGGGAGGATTGGCTGACACGCCTGAAGGCCGTGCTGCCATTCAGCAAGACCTGGACAGGCTGGAGAGCTGGGCAGAAAAAAAACGGATGAGGTTTAACAAAAGCAAGTGTAGAGTCTTGCATCTGGAGAGGATAATTGCATGCACCAGTACAGGTTGGGGGATGAGCTGCTGGAGAGGAGCGCTGCGGAAAGGGACCTGGGTGTCCTGGTGGACGACAGGTTGGCCATGAGCCAGCAGTGTGCCCTTGTGGCCAAGAGGGCCAATGGCATCCTGGGGTGCATTAAAAAGAGCGTGTCCAGCAGGTCGAGGGAGGTGATCCTCCCCCTCTACTCTGCCCTAGTAAGGCCTCATCTGGAGCACTGCATCCAGTTCTGGGCTCCCCAGTACAAAAAAGACAGGGATCTCTTGGAAAGAGTCCAGCGGAGGGCCACGAAGATGGTGAGGGGCCTGGAGCATCTCTGCTATGAGGAAAGGCTGAGTGAACTGGGTCTGTTCAGCCTTGAGAAAAGAAGGCTGAGAGAGGACTTGATCCAGGTCTATAAATATCTAAGGTGTGGGGGGCAGAATGGCGAGGCCGGACTCTTTTCAGTGGTGAATGGAGACAGGACAAGGGGAAACGGCTGGAAACTGCAGCATAGGAAGTTCTGCACAAATGTGCGCAAGAACTTCTTTACAGTGAGGGTGACGGAGCACTGGAACAGGCTGCCCAGGGAGGTGGTGGAGTCTCCTTCTCTGGAGATGTTCAAGACCTGCCTGGATGCCGACCTGTGCTACGTGGTGTAGGGAACCTGCTTTGGCAGGAGGTTGGACTCGATGATCCCTTCCAACCCCTACAATTCTGTGATTCTGTGATTCTGTAAAGGAGACAAACTCATCAAGTCTTCTGCACTTAGGAAGGAAATTCCTGCCCATGTAGATAACAAGATTAGGAAAGTGTATCACATAAGATGCACTCGCACCCAAGAGTTACACAACATGTAAAACAACGTGAAAGCAACCAGCAGGTGGATAAAGCTGCTAGGACTGAAGTGGTTCAGGTAGGTTTGGACAGGCAAACTAGTGCTATGTTATATACAGACCCTATGTGTCTATATTTCCTTTCACACACTTCTACATCTGAGGATGAAGAACAAAGTGTCATTTGTGAGTTGAGGTCAGTCAGAGTGGGAAGTGTCTTGGGTGGCTCTCCTCTTCCTGGGTCTGTCCCCAGCCGTAGTGGAATTAATATGAAGACTACAATAAGCAAGGTTTTGGATCCACTCTCCTCTCCTTGAGGTGCCAAGGTCCTGTCAGGAGCATTAGCAGATGGATCCCAGGTGTCACTGTCATTTTTGCAAGACATGAATGAAGAGCTGTGTATGCAGAGAGGCTCACCCCTTGTAACAGCTGCTCAAGAGACATGCAATCTCTATTCAAAGAGATGCTACTCCCTTTTCTGCTAACTCTGAAATGAGGGTGAGAAGGGATGGAGCCTGGATGCACCCCTTCTAATCACTCAGGTACATTGCTTGCACCTGAGTTCCCTGGCTTAGCCATCCCTTCTCACCTGGGGCTCAACCACTGGTTCAGGCTGTGATCCAGCAATTCCTCTGCAAGCCATGTTCCCAATTTTCTCTACTCAACCACTTGGCCTACAGTTGATTTTACTAGCAATTCTTCTGTGGCTAGTAATAATTGTAATTTGTGAGTTGGTAACAATTCCAAATGGATGGGAGGATGGGTGCATTGCATGCATGGAAAGAGGGAAGGGAAAGATAAAAAAGCTGTCTTGGTCTATGATGCTGTTTAGCCTGTAGTGCTTCCAAAGCCAATGGCTGCATCTGAGTGAAGTTGATGGCCTGCCTTTGCATTAACAAGAAGAGGCTCCCATACCTGACAAAGCTGGAGAGCTACTCTATCCTGCTTTTTCAAGAAGATTCAGGGAGTTTGCAAAGAGTGGACAAGAAAACATCAATGGAATTCATATCCTTTGGAATGATGCTGAAAGGATTGGGAGCACAGGTAATGTTCTCCTCCCTCAGCGTTGTTTGAAAGGAATTAGGGAGGGAACCTCTAAGAAGGTAACGCATCTCGAAGTCCACCTGAAGTTCCTCTATCGCAATGCGTGCATCATGGGAAATTAGAAAGAGCTACAAAACACAATTTAGGACATTAGAAAAGTAGTACCTACTTGTTATCCTGGAAATGTGGTGAGAAGCTTCACACAACTGAACACTGCAGTGAAGAAATACAACCTGTTTACTGGAGTTAGGCAAGGAAGGGTGGGCAAGGATGTTGCCTACTGAGAAGAGTTGGGAAACTGCAGACCCATGAACCTCCTGTCTGTGCCAGAGAAGATCAGGGAACAGATTCTCCTAGAAGCCATGTTAAGACTTATGCAATTAAGGGAGATGATCTGACACAGCCAACATTGCTTCACCAAGGGCAGATCCTGTCTGATCCACCTGGTGTACTTCTATGGTGCAGGAACAGCTTCATTAGGCAGTGGAAGAGTAAGTGATGTCCTCCATGTGGACTTGTGCAAGGCCTCTGGAATGGTCCCACACAACAACTTTCACTGTAAGTTGGAAACATTTGGATTTGAATGGTGGACTATTCAGTGGATAAGGAACTGGTTGGATGGTCACAGCCATGGGATTCTGGTCAAGAGCTCCACGTCCAGGTGGAGACCGGAGATGTGTGGTGTCTCCTAGAGAGAGGTCCCACTTCTTTTGGGACCAGTGCTCTTCAACATCCTTGTCAGTGAATCTCGTCAGTGGGATCAAAGGCAACCTCAACAAGTTTGCTGCTTGCACTAATGTGAGTGGTGCTGTTGATACAACAGAAGGAAAGGATGCTATCCCAAGGGACTTGAATAGGGAGCCTGTGTGAAATGAATGAGGTTCAACAAGTTGGAGAGTAAGGTGTTGCACTTGGATCAGGTCTGTTCCAGTTATGAGAATATTCTGGAGGAAGAACTGAGAGCAGCCCTGTGGAGAAGGACTTGGAGTTTCTGGTGGACATGAGCCATAATTGCACGCATGCAGCCCAGATGTCCATCTGTATTCTGGGTTCCATCCAAAAAGAGAGATAGCTAGCAGAGTGAGGGAGGTGATTGTCCCTCTCTGCTTTGCTCTCTTGAGGGTCCGCTTGGAGAACCGTGTCCAGGTCTGTGGCCACCAGCAGTGATGTGGAGCAACTGGAGCAGCATGAAGGGAGGCCATGAAGAACATCAGAAGAGTGAAGAATCTGGGCTGTGGAGAAAGCCTGAAGTAGACTGGTTTGATTGGCCTGCAAGAGGATCTGGGGAGACCTCATTGTGGCCTCCCAATACTTAAAGGAAGACTATAAAACAAGGGTGACAGAATCTATGCCTTCCTTTTCCATCTCTTCCTCTGCCCTCTTTATTGCATCATTTTTGGAGTTCCCAAACATCTGTATCTCCAAATTGTGAAAGTTGTTTGCATCTTCTTGATTTGTTTGTGTACAACTGGGGACAACTTTCAGTTAGGTGTGGGAGCTTTGTTGTGTTGTGATAAAATCAAGCACACGTGCAATACGTTTGTCATGTCAAGGAAGAGTAATGCCTTTCACACAGGAAAACATGAGAGCCCTGGGTCGTGCAGGTGAGCTGCAGTGCCTCATCCAATGTGAAGAAAACATTATCAGGATTCAGTCGTAGAGGAGAATTATCTTCCTAATGTGACAGCAACTCAGAGTACTGGAAAATCATGTCAGTTTCCTATACACACCGTTCCCTGTTTGCTCTCTGGCATCAATTAACACATTCAGTAATGCTATGTGTCCCGTCTCCTCTCTAGTTAATTACTGTCTGCTGATTAAAAAGAAGAGAAAAAGAAGAAAATACAACAACAGCACCAATGGAAAAGACATAACATTTTGCAAAAATCGCAGAGCGCAGAGGAAAGAATTTGCCATGGAGACCTGAGAAGTGATACCCAGAGCAGAAACCTGCTTCCAAACGCGGCGGGTATTTCCACTGCGCTTTGGGATCGCGTGTGCAGGAGGAAAGGAGATTCGAACCGGGAACTGGAGGGAAGGCGGAGAAGGAGCAATTCGGCATCGCGCCGCTGGGTGGGGATGTTGTCCACGGAGCGGCAGCTCCCTGTGGCCGCAGCGCGCTTTGAGGCGCAGGCGCGCAGAAGAGCCGTGCGAGCCGCTGGGGAAGGGCGGCGGGGCACGGAGCCGGGCGCTCGGGGGCTCGGGGGCCGAGGCGCTGTCCAAGTGCGGCGGCTTGGGGTCGGCGAGCGGCAGCGCGGCGCGTCGGGGCCGGCGAGCAAGGCGGCGAGGCATGGAGGGCGCCGGGAAAGGCCGGCCGTGGCGGAGGGGGACGGCGAGCGGGAGCCGGAGCGGCGGCGGCGGCCAGAGGCGAGTGGTGCTGTGGCTCGTGTGCGTTTGCGTGTGGGAGAGCGGGGCCGAAACGCTGCGCTATTCCGTGTGGGAGGAAATGGCGAGGGACTCGTGGGTGGGCAACGTCGCCCGGGACCTGGGGCTTTCTCCGAGCCAGCTGGCGGCTCGCAAGGCGCGCGTGGTGTCCGAGGGGAGCGAGCAGCATTTCCGCCTGGATCCGCACAGCGGCGTCCTGACGGTCACGGAGACGCTGGACCGAGAGCGGATCTGTCCGCACAGCGAGAGCTGCGCGCTCTTCTTTAAGCTGTTCTTTGAGAACCCGGTGCAGCTGATCCGCGGGGAGGTGGAGCTTCGCGACGTGAACGACAACTCCCCCGTGTTCCCGCAGAAGGAGGTGGTTCTGGACGTTCTTGAAACGGCGACTCCTGGATCTCGGTTCCCACTAGATAGCGCCCAGGACAGAGACGTGGGGCTGAACAGCTTACAGAATTACAGCCTCTCCCCGAATTCACATTTCTCCCTAGCAGTCGAAACAGGGAAAGGGGCTGCTGAATTCGTGAAGCTCGTCCTCGAGAGGCCTTTGGACCGCGAGGAGCAGCGGGAGCTGCATTTGGTGCTGACGGCCACGGACGGGGGCTCGCCGCCCAGGTCGGGCACGGCTGAGGTGCGGGTGGTGGTGCTGGATGCCAACGACAACATGCCGGTGTTCTCGCGGGAGGTGTACGAGGTGCGCGTGGCCGAGAACAGCCCCCCGGGGCAGCTGGTGGTGCGGGTGTCGGCCGCGGATCCCGATGAGGGAACCAACGGCAAAGTGCGGTACGAGTTCACGCAGACATCGGAAGGATCCCGAGAGCCCTTTGATCTGAACCCTGAGAGCGGAGAGATTCGGGTTTCGGGCAATCTTGATTTTGAAGAAGCAAAGACTCACAAGCTGGTGGTGAGAGCCACAGACGGCGGCGGTCTGTCTGCGCACTGCAAAGTGCACGTGGAGGTGCTGGACGAGAACGACAACGCGCCGGAGATCGAGCTGAGCTCGGTGAGCGCGTCCATCCCCGAGGACGCCCCGCCGCGCACCGTGGTGGCCCTGCTGAGCGTGCGGGACCGCGACTCCGGCGACAACGGGCGGACGGAGTGCGCCGTGGAGGGCGACGTGCCGTTCAGCCTGACGGCCGCGTTCGCCGACCACTACGAGCTGCGCACCAGCGCGGCCCTGGACAGGGAGACGGCGGCCGAGTACAACGTGAGCATCGTGGCCACGGACCGGGGCCGGGCGCGGCTGAGCGCTCGCGAGAGCGTGCGGGTGCGGGTCGGCGACGTGAACGACAACGCGCCTCGCTTCACGCAGGCGGCGTACAGCATGTGGGTGAGCGAGAACGAGGCGGGCGCGGTGCGGATCGGCAGCGTGAAGGCGACGGACGCGGACGCGGGCGCGAACGGGCGCGTGAGGTACGCGCTGGTGCGGGAGGAGGGCGAGGAGCGGCCCGCCGTGTCGGTGGACGGCGAGAGCGGGGCCGTGTCCGTGGTGCGGCCGCTGGACTACGAGCAGGTGCGCGCCGTGGAGGTGACGGTGGTCGCCGCCGACGGGGGCTCGCCGCCGCGGAGCGCCACGGCGCTGGTGCGGGTGCTGGTGCGGGACGAGAACGACAACGCGCCCGTGGTGCTGCACCCGCCGGCCGACGGCGGCGCGGCGCTGGGCGAGCTGGTGCCGCGGCGGGCGCGGGCGGGCTACCTGGTGGCCAAGGTGGTGGCGGTGGACGCGGACGCGGGGCAGAACGCGTGGCTGTGCTACGAGCTGGCCAAGGCGACGGAGCCGGGGCTGTTCCGCGTGGGGCTGCACAGCGGCGAGGTGCGCACGGCGCGGGCCGTGGGCGAGCGCGACGCGGCCCGGCACAGGCTGGTGGTGCTGGTGCGGGACCGCGGGCGGCCGCCGCGCTCCGCCAGCGCCACGCTGGCCGTCGCCCTGGCCGACGGCTTCTCCGAAGGCCGCCTGCGGGCGAGCGAAGAGGCGCCGGCCGCCGAGCCCGACGGCCGCCTCACCCTGTACCTCAGCGTCTGCTTGGCCTGCGTGTCCGCGCTCTTCGTGGCCGGCGCGGCGGCCGCCGTGGCCGCCCATGTGCGGCGGGCCCGGCGGGGCGAGCCGGGGACCTTGCCCGCCTTCCCGCGCTCCGCCGCCGACAGCGGCGCCGGCTCCCTGCCCCGCAGCTACGTCTACGACGTGCGCCTCGCCGCCGGCACCGTCGACAGCGAGTTCCGCTTCCTCGGGCCGCTCTTGCCCTGCTTCCCCGCCGGGCTGCCGCACGGCGCGGCCGAGCGCCGGAGCTCGCTGTGCTCGGCCGGCCTCGGCCAAGAAGAAGGCGACTGGGCCGTGCAGGTGAGGGAGCGGAGCCCCGCGCGGGGGCCGAGGGGGAGCGCGGGGGCAGCGCGGTGCGGGGCACGGAGGGAGGCGGGGACGGAGGCTGCGAGGGAGGGTTCGGCCCCGAGGGCGGCTGTGCGACGGCGGGGAGCTGCGGCGAGGCCGTGGCGGTGATGGGTGGCGTCGCGTTTCTCCTGCACGGCATCGGCGCCGGCATAACTGCTATCACCTCGGAGTCAGTTTCCCCTCCGTTGCTGTCTGAGTTCCCCCATCCCATATCCTGTTTTTACCGTTGGCTTTAAAGCACGGTATTTGTTCCTGCGGGAACCGTTAGTGTCTGCTCCCGTCTTCCTGACCCAAAGAAAGATTTCCTGTTTTGCTTGTCTGAGGTCCATATGCAAGGGCTTAATAGGGCTATGGGGTTCCTTATAGGTTTTGAATGTCGTCTTGTCCGGGTCAGAGAGCTGTGTCCCCGCCCTCCTCTTTCTTTGCCTCTGGGCAGGGAAGAGTGGTCTCCCATTCACATCGGTTCAGATGAGCCTTCCCAGCTTCTCGCTGACACCTGCTTGCCGTTAACGGCCCCATGTCAGCCCTGCACTGTGTTCTTTGCAGGGCCGAGCTCCCGTCTCTGAAGGCACGGGTGCCAGGGCAGCAGAGGAGAATGCCAGTTTGGATCAAAGCCCCTGGCTCAGCCATCAGTAAGGGAGGAGAAGGAGAAGCATCTCGGTCCTCGTGGGCTGATCTCTTCCAATTGAAATGAAGGAGTCACCAACACTGTACCAAAAATCACCAGGGAAGCAGAGATGTGCTGTGTGAGAAGTCAAGGACAATCTCCTCTGATGCAGTGCTTCATTCACGTGTTCATTTTGAAATTTTGTTACGTTTGGAGGTGGATGCATGCTGGGATCACTGAGACGTGATATCTAATTGTGATAGTGCTATTGCTCCTAAGCATTAAGTGAAGAATGGGAAGAAGCGATTCCGATATTGAAGCTGTTGTTTTCATACATCTGCTTTCATGCTTTCTTTTTGCCAGTGGAGGTTTTCTTTAATAGCCCTGAGAAGCGCTGCCTTAGAGGTGCCCAACACTCACAGTGCACATTCAGCCAGGAGCTCCTTGGTTCTGCATGCTGTACAGAGTGCTCCTTGAGCAATGTATTCCTTTTTGGTTTGATTTTGTTTTCTTTCCTAATCTCAAATGTAAATGAGTTGTAATACAGCGTTTCTGGAACATCATGTATAAGATAGCAGAGAATTCAAAGCAGTGTGATATTTCTGGTCCTTCATTTCACTCATGTATTTCCTTGGTATGAATGGCTGGTGACAAAACCAATAAAATCTACTGGGAAATCTGAAGGAATCTGAGTTTTAATACAAGGGCTGTGTCTTCTGATGTGCAGATACCATTCTAGCTCTGAGCTCCATTAAGGATCACTGGTTTGTTTGTACGCTTCTGTTTCTGATGTTGACGGACAGCATCTGCCATGAACTGAGGGGAGTCAGGGCAGGAAAGGTCTGTGGAAGCTCTTCTCAGCCTGGGTCTTTTCCTAACTGTAGTGGTACTGTATGTGAGATTCCAATAAGCTATGGTCCAAAGGTATGGCATCCAAAGGGACATTGCACATCATGTGACAACATGCAAAGTGATGCAGCTGGGGCAGTTGGCTGGAAGTGGAAGCGGCTGCTCCTGGGGGACTGTTTGGGTGTCGCTGAACGAGTGGTGAGCAATTGTGTTGTGCATCTCTTGTATTCAGTGCATCTGTTCCTCTGTCATTATTATCATGGCTTTTATTTCCTTCATTCCTTCGTTCCTTCTTTCCTTTTGTGCTTTAGTGGATATCTTTTATCTTGTCCCAGAGATTCCACTTTGTTTTAGTTTGTTTCATTTCTATCTCCCATCACATTGGGAAAGGCACTGATGGAACAACGCTGTTGTTCTGAGCTGCTGCCTGGTTGTACCACCCAATGGTTGAGGTAACCACAGATCTGACCAGAGCGTTTCCAAACAGAACTGATATTAGGGTTAATGTAGTTTAATGCCCAGTCTGCATTTTTTGGTCAGTCTTTTGGTGCCATTTCTCAGAACTACTTCTTATGAACCTGTCCTTCCTATATCTCTTCTCTGTTGTGCTGTTTCCCATCTCTGAGAGATGGAATAAGATGGTAGTTCTGGTGTTACGGGTAACATTGGCTATGACATGTTAAAGGTACTGCTCAGGAGTGTTTGTACTCCACATTGCCATCATCTTAATACTTAGGGAACCATCTCTTAATAACTTCCAAGATTTACACATTGTCCTTTGTGTCCTTACGGAGCCAGACTATGGCAGCGTGAACAGGCCATGTTTTACTTTGTTTCCTCACCCTTCTCTCTCCTTCACCTACCAGTTATCTTTCAGCCTGGTTACAATGGCTTTTGAGAGTGTTAAATGTCATCAAGATGTTCAAAAAAGCACGATCCTGCTGCTGTGTCTCCTGAATCTGTTTCTGGTTTTGTCTATGTTTAACCAGGTCTTTCTTAATACAACACAGAGATGTGCCCCACACAGTGCTTGGTGAGTGTCAGGCTGTGTGGGAGGATACCAGCTGGTCCCCAGAAGATTGGGCACTGTTGGTGCTCTGGAGCTCCACACCAAACAAGTGCAGGATCCAGAAGAACTGGTAGCAGAACTGTTTGCAGCAGATACGCCATCACTCTGGCAACTGTAGAGAGACAGCAATCAGAGCTGGGGCTTGGCCTATGCCTACTGCCTCCTGATCCCTGCTATTCAGCACACACAAGTGAAGGAAAGAGCAGGTCTCTAACTCTGATGACAATGTGACAGGCCCTGCGGCTGCTGCAGCTTCTGTGACAGGCCCTGCAGTTTCTTCAGCCCTCCCTGCAGTGCCTGTGGTTGCTTTGAGGCCTGTGCCAGTTGCTGTGGTGGCTCCAATCCCTGCTCCGTGCTCTGTGGCTGCTCCAACTGGCGCCACAGGCCTGTAGTTACTGCAACCCTGCCATCTGCCCTGCAGTTGCTCCAGCTCCTCCATCACAGCCTGTGGTTGCTTCAAATCCTGCTGCAGGCCCTGTAGCTTCCCAGCCCTCAAAACAGGCCATGACATCAATCCATTCCTAGTGACAATCCATGCTGTGTCTTCAACTCCCATGAGAGGCCTGGGGTTGTTCCAACCCTTGCAGCTGGCCCTGTGGATGCTCCAACTCATGTGAGGCCTTGAAGTTTCTCCTTGCTCTGCAATGGGCCCTGTGGTTGCTCTTAGATGCATCACAAGCCCTGTAGTCGCTCCAATTCCTGCAGGAGGCCCTGAAGTTTTTCCAACCCTCAAAACAGGCCCTGCTGTTTCTCCTGTCCCTGTGCCAGGCCTTCCATTGAACCAGGGAACCATCTGTGTCACCATCAGTTGCCCCTGTACATAAGACTCAACAATGACTGCAAGTGTCAACTTGTGGTCTTAATCCACAGTGGGAGAAGTAACTGTGTGACTCCAATCCATGCAGGAGCATTTATTGAAGTATTGAGTTCTTCTTGGCCAGTTGCAGAAACCACTGAAGGAGGGATGAATGGAGCCAACGTGCAGAATTGCAGGCCGTCCAGCTGGCTTTAGATACTGCTGAATGAGAAAGGTGATCAGTGATCAGATCTCTGCCCTTCATCATGAATTGTGGAAAATGCTCCCTGGGAGTATTGCACAACCATGCAAGCTGTGCAACAGGCAGTGCAGAGGCAAATCCCTCAAGTCTGCTGCATTGTGACAAGTTATTGCTACCCACATGGAGAACGTGATTACAGAAGTACATTCTGTAAGATGCTCACATTTGCAAGAGTCAAACCACTGAACAACATCTAAACAACCAGCAGGTGGATAAAGCTGCTAGGATTAAAGTGGTGCTGATAGCTCTGGGCAGGTGACGTACAGGTGTGTTATTTACAGCCCAAAGTGCCTGATTTTCCTTTCACACCCTTTTACAACCAAAGGTGAACAGCAAAGTGTCATTTGTGAACAGAGGGCAGTCAGAGTGGGAAGTGTCTTTAGAAGCTCTTCTTTGCCTGGATGTGTTCCTGGCTATACAGGCACCACAGGTGAGGTTACCATAAGGAAGGTTATGGGTCCTCTCCTCTGCCTGAGGTGCTAAAGGCAATCTGGAGTATAAACAAATGGATCCCAGGTGTCACTGTCAGTGTTACATGACAGGAATGAGGATGTGTCAATGGAAAAATAAGGTGATGACAGTGCCTTCTTCGAGGATAGAAACAAAATGGAGCAAAAGCAGCTAAAAAATAAAAAAATAAAAATAAAGGAACAAAAATTTGCTCATCCTTCCAGTGACTGGTGATGAATCAAAAGGAGTGCAATCTGTATTCCAAGAGATGTCACTCCCTCATCTGTGAAGCCTGAAATGAGGCTGAGGATGTTTGGATCCAGCCAGACACCAGTGCTTCCATGTGCATTGCTTGCAGCTGAGCTCCCTGAATTGGCCACACCTTCTCACCTGGTGCTCAACCATTGCTTCAGGATGTGACCTGGCTGATCCTCTTCAAGCTCTATTCCCCATTTTGTTTACTGAAGCACTTGGCCCATGGTTGTTATTAGTAGAAGTTCATGGGTTGCTGGTAAGAATGGTAACTTCATAGGTGCTAACAATACCTTATGGATGGCTGGACGGTTGGAAGGAAAAAAGAAAGGAAGGAAGGGAAAGATAAAAAACTGATTTGTTCTCTGATGCTACTTAGTCTGTCGAGCTTTCAAGCCAAAGGAATGGAAGAGGAAAGCACAACTATGGCTGTATCTGAGTGAAGTTGGAGGCCTGCCTTTGCAATAACAAGAAGCTCCCATACCTGGTAAAGCTGGGGAACTACTCTATTCTGCTCTTTCAAGTCGAGTTAATGAGGTTTCAGTGAGCTGACTACAAATAACTGTGAGAATTCATATCCCTTGGAAGGATGCTGAAGGGATTGGGAGCAGAGGCCATGATATCTTCCCTCAAGGCTGTTCTAAAAGAGAGAGGGAGGAACATCAAGGAAGGCAGCACATCTTAAAGCCCATCTGCAGATCCTGTATCCCAATGCATGCATCATGGGAAATAAGCCAGAGCTGGAAACCACAGCATTGAAAATTACAACAAATCAACCTATTTGTTCTCATGGAAATTTGGTGAGAAGATTCACACAACTGGAACACTACAGTTAAGAGCCACAAGCTGTTTACAAGAGTTAGACAGAAGAGGATGGTCAAGGGTTTTAGCCATTAGGAAGAGCTGGGAAACTCCAGACCCAGGAGCCTCATGTCTGTGCCAGGGAAGATCAGGGAACACATCCTCTCAGGAGCCATGTTAAGAGAAGAAAAGAAGGTGATCTGACACAGCCAGCGATGCTTCAACAAGGGCAGATCCTGTCTGAGCAATCTGGTGTCCTTCTATGGTGGAGTAACAGCAGCATTGGACAAATGAAGAGTGAGTGCTGTCATGCAGTTGGACTTGCGCAGGGCTTTTGACATGGTCCCACACAACCTCCTTATGGGTGGGTTGGAGAGGTATGGATCTGAAGGCTGGGCTGTTCAGTGGATACGGAATTGGTTGGATGCTCACAGCGGTAGAATCGTGGTCAAGAGCGTTATGTCCGGGTGGAAAGCAGTGATGAGTGGTGTCCCCCTGGCGGTCTGTGTGGGGCCGGCGCTCTTCAACATCTCTATCAATGGATTGAGAGAGCGGGATCCAGTGCACCCTGAGCAGTTCTGCAGATGACACTTGTGTGCGTAGTGCAGTTGATGCAAGAGATGGTGGGGATGCTCTGCAGAGGACCTGGAACAGCTTGAGAAGTGAGTCCATGGGAATTGAATGAGGTTCCACACGTCCACGAGGTGGCCTTGGACTTGGGTCAGGTCCTTTCCGAGTGTGATTACAGTCTGGGAGAAAAGTAACTGAGAGCAGCCCTGTGGAGAAGGACTTCAACTGCTCTTCTTGTTAATTACTATAAGGGATTAAAAGAAAACGAAAAGAAAGAAAAAAGAAAATTGAAAGGAAAGTATGACAATGAACTGAATAGCAGTGAGAAAACACTTTGCAAAGACCAAACAGAACGGAGGAAATGAATTCGCCGTGGAGACCTGGGAGGTGATACCCAGAGCAGCAGTGCGTGTGAGGGCAACAAGCCTGCTGCCAAACGCGGCGAGTATTTCCACTGCGCTTTGGGATCGCGTGTGCAAGGGGAAAGGAGATTCGAACCGGGAACTGGAGGGAAGGCGGAGAAGGAGCAATTCTCGGTCGCGCCGCTGGGTGGGGATGTTGTCCACGGAGCGGCAGCTCCCTGTGGCCGCAGCGCGCTTTGAGGCGCAGGCGCGCAGAAGAGCCGTGCGAGCCGCTGGGGAAGGGCGGCGGGGCACGGAGCCGGGCGCTCGGGGGCTCGGGGGCCGAGGCGCTGTCCAAGTGCGGAGGCTTGGGGTCGGCGAGCGGCAGCGCGGCGCGTCGGGGCCGGCGAGCGAGGCGGCGAGGCATGGAGGGCGCCGGGAAAGGCCGGCCGTGGCGGAGAGGGACGGCGAGCGGGAGCCGGAGCGGCGGCGGCCAGAGGCGAGTGGTGCTGTGGCTCGTGTGCGTTTGCGTGTGGGAGAGCGGGGCCGAAACGCTGCGCTATTCCGTGTGGGAGGAAATGGCGAGGGACTCGTGGGTGG